ATCAAGCTGACGCCTGAACGATACTAATGTTGGCGCACAGACCACGTGAGGTGGTAGAGAATTCCATGAGCCGTACACTCTGACTGCAAGCGAATGGCGTCTGCAGTCGAGAAGGCTCCTTGGAGTGCCAACTTCAGTGGATGCCCTCTGAGATGAATGTTGGTTGATAGAACCAAAAGAGATCTACATGGATGGTTGGGTTATTAGAAAATCCGATTCAGTAAAATCACATCATCTCTGATTTGACGATATTGAGACAAGTAAAGCTCCAATTGCTGTAATCTTTCGCCATAGGTCTTAGAATGTACACATTTGGCCATCTGGGTAGCAATTCTCTGTGGATGTTTGAGTGCCTTCCGATCTCGCTGCAGCCATGGGTTCCAGGCCTGATTTGAGTACTCGGTGTATGGACGGATATATGTGGTTGACAGACGTGGAGATGAGGCCGGTTCAAACGATCCAAAGACACGAAGCAGTTCAACCTGTTTTACCGCCATGGACAATGCCCTGGAACAGTTTGTAGAGCAGCTCAAGTCTGTGCGAATGACTATTCCCAGATCCTTCTCGGATGGAGCATGAGGCAGTTTCGTGTAGGAAAGTGTAGAAAAAGTGACCATTGTGACCATAGTGACTTTGCATTTGGTAAGGTTGAATTCCATATCATTGGGCTTCCTCAAGGGCGTTCTGGAGATCAAATGAATCTTCAGGTTTTATTATTATCCTCCATATTTTGGCATCGTCTGCAAACAGCAGAGTTTGTGGTCCGAGAACGTCTGGAAGATCATTTATAAAGACATGGAAAAGACATGTGTCTAGCACAGATCCCCAACCCCATGGTTGGATCAGAAGGTGAAGCGGAAACACGCACTGACATGGTACATAGTCTAAGAAACTCCTCGATCTAGCCAAGTACGAGTCCAAGGATTCCATCATTATATAGCTTCTGTTTCAGTATTTGATGATTTGCCCTATCAAATGCTTTAGAGGAGTCCAGTTAAATAACATCTACCCCTTGGTCTTGGTCTACAGCATAAGTTCAACCGTCCCTGGCCAATATCAAGGTAGTTGTGCATGACCGGTTTTTTCGAAACCCGTACTGGGTAGGGGATAGTAAGTCATTTTTCTCCAGATAATCCACTACAGAATCTGTAACAATAGATTCCATGACTTTGGACATCACTGAAAGGAGAGTGACGGGTCAGTAGTTTGCTGGGTCACTACGGCATCTACCTTAGTAAATTGATGAAATAACACCGTTTTTCTACACCTGAGGAAGCACAGTATCTTCAAACAAACGTAAAGGATCGGCTATGTGACTTGCCAGGGTGATAAGGGCTTGTGGATGTATGTTATCTAGACCCGGTGATGATTTCTTGTTTAAAGCCAGGAGATTTTCCTTTATCATTTCGGTATAGAAACTAATATCTGTCAGTAATGGATAGGGGATATATTCCAGCAAAGGGGGTAGTATTAACCCAGTATTATTGATCACTTGGGAGTACTGTAGTCTAAGCAGTTCTGTAGGCTCCTTTATTGTTGCTGTTTCATCGTTATCCTTAAGTCAACCTAAATATATACTTTTTTGGCCTTTTGTGGTATTTTTGGGGACTAAAATGTAACCCTAGCAGACTGCAAAATTCGTGATTATAGAACAGTTTTCGCGCAATCGAAGAAGACCTCATGCGGACTGTGAACAAATTTGAAAGCAAATGTGCCCGAGACTATCCATATCCTGTTCAGTTACCGATTAGAATATTTCCAGGGCTTTTGCAGGCAGTGATGCATCGGAAAGGAGATATAACCAAAAATAAAATCAATTTGAATCAGTGAAAAACGGTGAGGTCTTTTCATAACCATAACATGTCCCCTATATTTGTGGTGCCAAGAATATGGTGGGCGAGCAATTTCCAGTTATTTGAATAAGTCCGATTATACACGAAATAATCACAAAAACTGAAGAGAATTTTTCGCATAATTTCTGGCACATTTAATTGGGTATTGCATGGTTCATATGCAGAGATTTCCGAGTCATTTAGTTGTTCTGTGGATAATTACTCCACAATTCACTATTTCGAAGATGGAAAAATTGTTTTGTTTTTTTAAAGTTTTTCCGTGTAAACAGAACGAAAGAAGTTATTGTTTATACGTCTATGATAGATCTGTAATTTGCATTTTTATTTGAGTCACTACTCTGAGGATGCATCCCCTGTCTAGTTATTACGAGTTTTACTTGATTGACCGAAAAAGGCTGATCAACGGGGTAAATAGCCGCCATGCTGACGGCTTACATTGGCCGACGTACGATGTACGACAGTCTGCTACGGTATTCCTGCGTCCACACTTGAACACTATATAGTTCTTTGTTATTTTCCAATCCAGACCGAACAAACGTCAAGGGTTGATCTGGTTCTTGCATCGATCGATCGGATGGGTTGGTGACAACAAGGAACAGGACAATCATCCAAAAAGCACATGATCAAGACCGGATAACTTGCAGACCACCCTGAGTCGTTACTACGGCAAACAGGTTGATGTTGTGCAAAACATTGGTGCGAATATTACACAGTTGGACACTTGTGGTCAACAGAAACATCGTCAATATCCCACAGGGATGATCGAATAGCCACTCATATCTGACTGAGAGAGTGCGAGTTGTCCAAATCACGTAAAATTATGTCATCAGATTCCTAAAGGTGTCACAGAGACGCAGCTCACTTTGGAGGTCAAGGGTGGAAGCGAAAGAACAGTCAAAGTGACAGCAAATAATGATTGAATATGGTTTCAAAACACACGTTACTTTTAAGGACCATTCATTGTATTTCATGTTACATTCAGTCACCGGGATTTGGTATTTCTTCGGTAAAAAAAGGTTTTGTAATGTCTGGTTTGATTTCGGTTTGAACAACCGAAGGTTGAAGTTAGACTCGAAAAGAAAATGGAAAATTCCAGTAAACTACGGTTGCAAAGAAATTGAGCAGATGCACGAAAGTCACCGTTGAGGACACTCAGCCAGATCACTCAGTGTCTCGGGTACGACCATCCCGAGGTCCCCGTCCAGGGAGCTTAACAGGACTTATGTGACTCCCAGACTCCTGGTTGAGATTTTCATATCCTCATGCCAGGTCTTCGTTTGACCGTCCTTGACCTTTTTCCAACCCCTTTTTCTGCTCGGCAAACATCACTCACCATGGCAACCTATCTGGCGACATGCGTAACACATGCCCCAACTAATGTAATCTATGGAGTTCGACCACTGACGGTTGCCCAAAACTCTGTGCCCAACGTCTGATTGCGGCTTAATAACCAATTGACTATTGCATAGATGATAGTGAAATACATTCCCACTGACAGTTGACATGTCGGTAATAACCGATCCCGTTTAATAAATCATCATGTTAAATAGACCCCTTATGGAGGAGACTATTGCTGAGTATCTGGACATATTCTCTTGAGAAAACTCGCTGATTAGAGTAAAAACAACAGATCTACGTGAAATCGGTTGCATATCATATCACACAAAAAGGGCTATTACCGAGTAGACTATTTCGTATTAGAATCGATGGATTACAGAAGCATTCCCAACAAGGTTTCCGATGATAACTAAATTAGCTACCTTGCTACATTCACGACCATGGGGACGTAAGATCGTGCATAATATTGCACAGTTTCAGCTCATTCAGTTTAACCATGAAAGAAAAATGAAAACCACATTTCACTCATGAGCTACACCGATCCAGCTAGCATACAGGTCATCTTTACCAAAAGAGGTAGTCGGTCCATCGATCGACAATCTGGAATTTGTCCGACGTGACCGTTCGATAGATAGGTAGATGGGTCATGTGATCTGTCTAACTGGTGCCATTCTGCCCACATAATAACAAGACAAAGCTAGCTGATAGACGAATTTGCACATAGTCGTGGCCTCGAACATGCCAGTTGCAGTTGGCGACTATCTTCGGGCTTATTTCACACGCGAGGCGGAGGAACGATTACGTGATTCCATTCCGAATAAGATCAGAGAAATTGACGATTTGTTGCGCGAAAATCTTTTTGATTTGAATGCTGGAATCCGGCGTGTAAGGCTCTGTGCTGAGGGATTGACCACTCAACTCGAAACGGCAATTGATGGGTCCAAAAAAGATGGCTTGGCTCCTTTGCAATTGCCGATTGGTACCAATGAAGTGTTAGAACAAGCCTACACGGCCACGAGGCCGTTTATTTTACAACTGATCGAGGATTCGCAAATCTTACGAATGTGGGTGCAACTAAACATACCTCGAATTGAGGACGGAAACAACTTCGGTGTATCCGTGCAAGAAGAGGTGCTCATGGAAACCAATAAAGCCGAAATGGAAGCGAGTACAATGCTGGATTTTTTCGGGGACTATCTTATGTACCGAGCCAAAGTTGCGAGCAAAATTTGTAAATGGCCAACCCTGAGCGATTATCGCCGAGCGTTGGCGGACACGGATGAAGGGGCCTATATTCGTCTAAGAATGAACATACGAGATATCAGAAATCATTATAGTCGCTTGTATGATTTGTATCACAAGAACGCACTCAAACTACGAATGCCTCGAAACGAGATGGAAAATCAAATCAATATCATGTACTAGTGTCCGGAACGGGATTTTTTGTTCTCTTTTAATCTGTCCCCGTTTACGATATGATTTTCATTCATTTCGGTGAATTTTACTTTGTCTGAGTTTTTGTTGTAATTTGTATTTATTTCATGATTGTGTTCATTTAATATATCTATTTTGGTTCTGACCAATAAATAAATTTCAAGCAAAGCGGAAGGTAACGCTCGATTGAATTTTGAAAGAGTTCTAGGTTGCGATGGAGTGCCAAATTCACTCTTGTGTGAGATTACAATCGCATCGGTAATTTCTGTTCTCCACGGGTACTGAACGATATTTCCAGTCACACAAACTCTACAAGGAAATTATTTCTTCGTGGTGCGATAGTATTTCCTATTTAGGCCACTATATTTTTCATTTTATAAACAGCTGCGAGATGCTTTTTCGTGCGAAAAGTCTGAACCCTCAACAAGGAATGTATATATAGTTTATGTTAGCAACAGTTCATTATTTTATTTTATTTTATTAACCATTTTTTAATTTTAACCATTAAAGATGCATTTTCGTGTGTCAGTTTTTTTTCAACTGTCTTTTGGTTTCCCATTTTGATGAAGCAGTAAGAGAAAGACAGAAAAGTCACAAGTAAAGTGGAAGGCGAGATGGAAAAGTTCAGTAGTCCAAATTTGCAACAAAAAAATGTTGAGAAAATGCACGAGCGCCACTGTGAACGACACAACCATATCACTCAATATCGTTTACCATTGATTACAATGATCCCAAGTTCCCAGCCCAATGAGCCTAAAGCAATCTACATGACTGAGTCTCCGGATTTTACATCCCCCTTCCAGATCTTATTTTGACCACACTTTACTTTGTTCAACCCACTGCCTGCCTTGGAAAACATCGCGCGCGGAGTAACACTAAATGCCTCATAGTTTCGCAAGGATAAGAGAAAACAAAACACATTAATTATACTTTTAATTTACTCACCGATGTTTTTGGTAATTCACAAGGCCATATCTTCAATATTAGTCTTCAGAAGTTTTTGGTACAGATTTCGTCAAGAGTTCCAAATTATTACCAGGTAATTATCAAACTGCATGTCGTTCCCACAGTCGACATTCAAAGATTACGTATTATTAACTAAACTACTCACAACTTGGGAAGTAGGATAATGAATGAAATGCATTTTTGGCTAGAGCACAAGCAAATTCAACGGCACGAGGAATGTGATTTCGGAATGATGTCTGACAAACTGGATTATCTCATCCGTTTAAACATGCGCTCGAAGGATGTTCATCAAAACTCTATACATATATATTTAGAGAGTTATCCTGATTGTAAAAGCAGAGATCAAAAGCGACCAGAAACACCTTTTCCTTTTCATACATTCAGTTCCCTTAACGAATTTCATCGCGACGAGATGGAACCACATTTCAGCAGGATNCACATGAATTCAGTTAGTTCAGGTACTCTCAAACAGCTGCATACGTACAATGACAATCAAGGTTAAACAACAACAAAGACATGATTGGTTATGGGGTAATTGAACACACCAATTGGGGCAATCACAGGACAGGGGCAACGGTCACACAGTCAACCACGGCGAGTGAACACATGACGAGATTCAGTCAGGTAAAGACTGGCCACAAAGTCTAATTGTTTACACAAATTGAGTTTAAGCCGTCGAATGGCGGAGGCTTCAGCAAACTGAAGTAGACGATGGTGTTGTTGTCTACTTATGATCCNAAGGACTTGCTAGGCTCCACACACAAGTTGCAGTCTAATAAGTGGCGAACAATAGAGCTTTTAAAAACTTTATTTCCTTTCAGCTCTAGATTCTTCGGGATGCGTTCGGAAATCCTTACGGCAGCCTTCTTCATCCAGCGTACTTGCTACCGCAAGTACACTCAAATAGATAAATACGAGAGGAGGTAAGTTGAGGATCAGGCTTGTCCAAATTTGATTTCACGAGAAAACGCCTGGTTTTGTGCAGAATGATTAGTGAGACTGCATGAAATGTGCTGTGGGTTATTTGTTTTATTCGTCGCCGGAGACGTCTATCATTTTCGTCTTCTTTGAACGGGATGATCAAGTAAAATTTTCTTTTAGGGACTTTGGGTATTTTTGCTTAACTGTTATTTCTTCTACGTACCTTTTGATGAGCTTCAGAGGGTATCCATTTTCGAGTAGAGTCGACTGAATTGAAAGAAGATTGCTGTCCAAGGATTCTTCTGTATAAATTCGACGAGCTCGTGTGAATAAAGTACGAACAAGGGCACGCTTGTAAGTTATTGGACAGTAACTTTCAAAGTTCAAATACTGACCGGTCCGTGTCGGCTTATGAAACACGGAGCGGTTCGGTGTACCGTCTTCTCTACTCGCTAGGTGTACATCGAGGAATTGAAAAGTGTCTTCTGATCCGTGCTCGACTGTTAACTCAAGATCCTTTTGGCAGCTGTTCATTTCCTCCAACAGTTGATTCGCTTGATCGACGTTGTCAATAACGACGAATGCGTCATCAACATATCGGGTGTATAGCTGAGTTTCGTGTATGGACTCCTGAAGTTTGGTGGTCTCTAAATGCCCCATAAATATATCAGCTAGCACAGGTCCACAGGCTATCCATTGCCACACCATCTGTTTGTCTGTATAACTTTCCATTGAAAGAGAACTGTACGTTTTTTGTGCACAATAGAAGCAAAGATTTAAGTTGATTCGGTGGAAAGTTCACTGCATGGGCATGCTGGTACACTATGTCAATGGTCTCTTCGATTGGGACATTAGTAAAAAGAGAACAAACGTCATAGAAAACCATGTGTTTACCGGAGACATTAAGATTTCGAACTTTCTCCACGAACTCCATGGAGTCTTTTCAACTGTAGGTTGATAGTTTGTCACGAATCGATAGTCAACGGGCCAGCTTCTGATGCAGTGCACCAACCATCGACAAAATTGGCCTAAGCGGAACAGCATCCTTGTGAATCTTTGGGAGACCACAAAGACGGGGAAGGCGTGACCCACAAGGCGTCAACGAAAATGCAGTTTTGTTATCAATCAGTCCTTCTGAGACAATTTATTTTGTTATGCTTGTTACTTTCCGTTTAACGCTTGCAGTTTTATCCCGTTTCGAGTTTTCCTCTACAAAACGGGCACCATTCTTGAGAATAGACAGCATCTTGTCGATGTAATCTTGCTTGTTCAATAGGACTGCACTTGATCCTTTATCCGGTCTTTAGATGACCACATCCTCATTTCGACGAAGTTCCTGGAGAGAATCCCAGTGGATTTTGGATATTGGACAGTACTTATCAGTCCGCGCAACGGAAAACCGAGTGGCACCGTCGACAGCACGAGCTCGAAACCAACTGCAATAATCTGTCGAAATGGGCTCCAGATCCGATAATTGTTCATTAAAATACTCAAACTGTGCTTCTATGTCAACTCTATTAGATCTAGTAAAAGGAACACAGAAGTTAAAGCCTGAGGATGAAGCTTCTAACTGTACAGGTGAAAGCGTGACATTAGACAGACTCCTAACGTACCGTTCCGGATCATGAGGGATAAGTTCACTGAGAAGTGTAGGGACGTAAGGATCTCATAAGTTCTTCTTTCGACTTTAGCTTTGTTCTTTCTTGTGACACACGAATGAAGTTGAAAAACTTCATACGACACACAATATTTAGGTCATCCAAAATTTTATTGAATTGACCACAAGATATACGTGTTTCAGCAATACGCTGTTTCGACGTTTCACTGCGTGATTTAGTCACTCGGAGCAAATTTCGACGGTTGACCGGCAATTTGTCCCTGTGCAATGATTTTACAATGAATTTCCTTTGCTTCCTTTATTGAACGTCAAACCGCACTGGGTCTTCAGGAAAGGGGTGGTGCTCAGTCAAAGGGATACCGTAAATGTGAACCGAGGAGGAGGTCTCTTTGCGATCCTTCAAAGATACTGATATCCAATTATAATTTAAAATTTAAGTTTTCAAATACGGCTGGTTCTTTTTTTTGAAACGACACTAGGTGCATTTATATAAGTTGTAATTTTGAAAACAAAGCGATGCCGGTACAGGTGAAAAATAAGCCGATGTTTCGGTTAGAGTGGGTAACCTTTATCAAGGCGATTTTACAATCGAATGAATCAAGCACAGTTTGCCAACTAAACTCTCAAGCACCGTGTGTGTGTGTGTGTGTGTGTCCGTGTCGATGTGAACGTCACCGATCTGGATCGGGCGTTGGGCACATCCGCTTGTGCAATGTTTGTCTGTGGGATCGGGGTTATCTGAGATCAAATCAGTGTTAGGACGAGTGCTGGAAAGTGATGTTAACGCTGTCCAGATGCTCGAAACCCCTGCCCCGTCGTTTCGGTTTACACATCCAGAATGGGCACCAATTGCAAAAGTCTCGGCGTATAAGCGCCCTGTGTTTGTTTGAAAACCTCTTTGGAGAATTTTCGTGTTTTCATAGTCGATACGATGTCCCGCGGCAATGGAATGAAGTGCGAAGTGCCGAATCTCGTTCGAGTTTATTGAGTTGCGTGGCATTAGTTGGTCTCAACTTTTCTTTTTTCCGATGTTCCGTGATTCTCACTCCAAGCTGTCTGCATGTCTGTCCAATAAGTACTGCTGGGCAATCCTTGCAACTGATCTTGTAAATGCAGTTGCTTTGGTCCTGCATCTGAAATGGGTCTTTGACCTTGGATAGCTTGTGTTGAAGTGTGTTGTCTACCCGGAAGAAAACCCGGATGTTGTAACTACCGAGGATATTTCTGATTGCCTCAGATGTCCCCGATCTGTAGGTATATCAGTGGAAGCCAGCCAGTCTGTTGGACCCTTGCTTTTCGTGGTTGTTCTAGGTCTGGTAATCTCGTGTCGTACAAACCACTGTGGGTAGTTGTTGTCCTGGAGTACCCGGTTTAAGCGTCGCATTTCTACCTTTCGTGTATTCTCCTGGGTGCAGAGGTTTTAACCTTGTTTATTAGTGAAGAGATAAGTGAACGTTTTATGCATTGTGGATGTGCGGAGTCAAAA